AAACATGAGTAATCCAAATTTAACATTCTTTCACCTCCAAGTCATTGGTTAGGGTTTGTTCAGGTATTACCAGAGACTGAACCAGGAGGGACAATCTTGATCGGGTAATTGTAAGCAGACATGAAGGATCTCTTCAAGTTTTACGAGGTGAATTCAAGCCAGGGAGAGCTCATGGGATGGGATGAGAGAGCTAAAGGTTTTGCAGACCAAGGACAGTTTCGGGTAGTGCGATCTCGATATGCAGGCTAAGCAGTTCACAGCGATTTCTTTTCGAAGAGACAAAAACGACGGAGGAGATAGATCCGTTTTCTTCTTCTTCGGCGGTGGTTCCACTTCGGAATTCATAGCTGCGCTGCAGAGGATCGTTTTGAAAATTAGGGTAGTAAATTAGCATATTTATGGACCAAGCCCTAACCAACGACTCGAAGAAGGTTTCAAACTTGTACACCTCTTTTTGGGCTCACCAAACTTATATAAGTCCATGTAACCAATGTTACCTCTTATATATACAGGTGTCGTTATTTCATTAAATCGTACTTTTTTATTTTTTGATCAACTCATTAAATCGTACTTGTGCGTAAATTAAAAATACAAATGATGTATTTCCTTCGATGATAGATTCAAAATCAACTGAAAATAATTTCTCCAAAACTGTTGTTCTTCTAAAGTATATTCTCTCACAAATAATCAGTTTGATTGTAGGTAACTTTTAGAATATAAACGGACTAATCCAATGCAATTCAAAAAACCGATGATTTATAATCCATCATTAATCATTACTAGCTATTTTAAAGATCGATATAAGTTAGAAAAATATTAAAAAAATGCCGGAAAAGTATACTTCAAAATATTTCCAAAAAAAATTCTATTCTTTAAAGAAAAAAAAAATGCATCCTCCACAAATGTTCTAATTTTTTTTGGTATAATCATTTTTCGCTAGAGTAATTAACGTTGGTAATCAACAATTGTTCTAAACACTATTTCAGATTAATTAAATAATATGTTTGGATTCAATAGAATAGAGCAACAAGCTGATATGGCCGAGTTGGTCAAGCTGATATGGCCAAGTTGGTCTAAGGCGCCAAATTAAGGTTCTGGTCCGTTAGTGCGGGCCTGGGTTCAATGCCCACTGTCAACAATTCTCTTTTTAATTTTCCCCATTTTTTCTCTTGCTGACGTGTACTCGCCTTATCGTCTCGACTTAAACACGACGGGACCCACATTATTTGATGACGTGGAATTTTCATAGTCACTAATCTACTGAAACGAAACGATAAGGTAAAAATCATCA